CAGCACAACTTTATATTCATGAGTTGCATATTACCCGGCTGGCACCCACCAGAAACCGCTGCTGCATAAGTCATTATCAAAATTCGCACATCAGACAACACAAATCTGTGTCGACACATGTTAAATAGGAATATATTGAATTTATTGTTGGAAAATGGTTTGGTGTCTTACCATATTGTATCAGATGTCCTTTATGAAGAAAAAAAAATATCCAATTTCTTAATCATTAGCTGATCTTTTTTTTATTTCGTAAAACATGTTATATGGTGATTAGATAGATAGGTCATTGGTAAATCTGCAGAGACACAACACTTGCAGCAACAAAACTGTAAAATAGCTTGTCTGTTTTGAATTGTGACTGTTGTATACATTTGGTTTTACACTATTTGTTGCAATTTAAATTCGACCTCTTATCAAACACTGTATGAATTTAAAATCCAGTATATATTTATTGCTTTTCTGTTTCTCGAGAATATGCATAGCGGAAGATTAATCGGAGCGATCTGTACTCGATATTCATTGTGCCATGTAAAACAAAACAAAAACCGTAATATTCATAACATTAAAAGGAATAAATATCTAAAAAGTCTTTATAAATTCCATTGAACATAAAACTAATCGAGATCCAAATCTAATTTAAAATATTTGTATTTTCTAAAACTAAAATTTATTTTTTTGCCAAATTTACAAAAGCTTATTATCTAAATTAACTTTGAGACACTAGTTTAAGATTTACATTGTACATGATAAAATTTTCAAAATGCCTGTTTAAAACCTTAATTTTATTTCATTTTTCAAAACGATGACGTTTGAACAAAGATGTTGATTCATAAACGCAATCGTATGGTAGGTGTGCGTTTAAACTGTGCAAGCTATCTGAGGTGGTTAATGCACACCTACGCTGTGCATTATCCAGATAATAGAATGAAGAGATTTTTTCCCTTGCCATGTGTTAGGTGGTAGTTCGTAACAAATATTTATGGTAATATAATTTTTTAATCGACTGCTCCAATAATTCTTATTGGAAAAATAAACTTAATTTAACATTCTGTTCCGATACCATTATTAAAAAGAAACCACATAACAAAGACAAAATAACAGCCAACAATGTTATAATAAACAGCCAAAATTGTGGTTACAAGCAGCCAACAATGTGATAACAAACAGCCAACAATGTGGTAACAAAAAGTCAACAATATGGTAACAAACAGTCAACAATATGGTAACAAACAGTCAGCAATATGGTAACAAACAGTCAACAATATGGTAACAAACAGCCAACAATATGGTAACAAACAGTCAACAATATGGTAACAAACAGTCAACAATATGGTAACAAACAGTCAACAATATGGTACCAAACAGCCAACAATGTGGTAACAAACAGTCAACAATGTGGTATCAAAAATTCAACAATATGGTAACAAACAGTCAGCAATATGGTAACAAACAGTCAACAATATGGTAACAAACAGCCAACAATATGGTAACAAACAGTCAACAATACAGGAAAAAACAGCCAACAATATGGTAACAAACAGCAAACAATACATTGGTGGTTTGACATTAATACTATAAGAATAACAATGGAAGATTAAACATTACTGAAAATTTGACGTTTCTAGACTTTTAAAAATCATGGGTAGCTTGTGTCCTCATACCGGAGGGCAATATTGATATTGTAGAAATTTTAATGATCACCAAGACTTATTTGTTGGGAGAATTTTATGTGGAATACTGATAAATATGGAAAAAACGAGTTGGTTGACTGTTATTGAATATCCGTTTCACAGATGATAGCGGATATGTTCCTAATGTCGTAACTACAATCCCGTTCCCTTTTCACGAATGTGACCTACCGAATTAGACTATTTACCGGTTTGTACTAACATGAGCAACACGACGGGTGCCACATGTGGAGCAGGATCTGCTTACACTTCCGGAGCACCTGAGATCACCCCCAGTTTTTGGTGGGGTTCGTGTTGCTTAGTCTTTAGTTTTCTATGTTGTGTTTTGTGTACTATTGTTTGTCTGTTTGTCTTTTTCTTTTTTAGCCATGGCGTTGTCAGTTTATTTTCGATTTATGAGTTTGAATGTCCCGCTGGTATCTTTCGCCCCTCAACAATTTCTTGGTATCTTCCAATGAACTTTTTTAAAAACATGACGAGACGTTCATTGACATAACCTTTGCTCATCAATGTTATGCTCAGACACTGTTGACGTTTTATAAAGTAGCAGTAGCAGCTGCAAGCTCTTGAATACCGAATGAGTTGGGAAATGTATATCCCATATATGCAGGTGAAGTTGGTATATTGCTGCAAAGGTGGGAAAAAATTTATAATTTAAAAATTAAAATCATCTCGCTTGTCATAGATTCTGGTTTTGAGATGTCAAATTCGAGGTATAAGTCTAAAAATGAGGCGGAGACAAGTCAGCTATTAAAGGGGAATAATTTGTGATAACGAAACCCTTGACTCAATAATTTACCAGCAATATCTAGATTACGTTCATTGTCTTGTCAACTAGTATTAACGCATATTTATTCCTGTTAATAATTGTAAAGTTATTGTTAATGCAAATGCAACAGGGTGAGTATCGCAATAATAGAAACTCGTATTTTGATATTTGATACTTATATCTGTATACAGAACTCGAAATCGCAATAATTAATCTCGCATTTTCCCAGTCTTCAAAAATCGCAGTAATAATGCATGCAATAATTTCTGAATTTACAGTATTTAATTCATTTAGTTTATATAGATCTAATTCGAGATATAGAGATTTTGATTTTCTGTCTCTAAATCTTCATAGTGTAAAAGTTATGAAATAAGCTGAATGTTCGTACATAGTCATACATAGTCACACGACTTTTTCGAGATACTGAAAAAAAAAAAGATTTACGGACGCCATCACGAATTGATTGATCGTTATGGAATATCTTTTTCACAGATGACGACTGATATGTTCCTATTGTCGTAACAACAGTTCCGTCCTCTTTTCCTCAAATGTGTCCCACCAAAGTAGACTTTTCATCGGGTTTGTACTTACAAGAGCAACATGACGAGTACCACATCTGAAGCCATATCTGCTTACCCTTCCGGAGCATCTGCAATCAGTTCCAATTGAGTTCGTGTTGCTCAGTTGTTTGTTTACGATGTAGTATGTTGTGAAGTGATGATTGTCTTTTGATCTTTTTTCGTTTTATTGCAATGGCATTGCTATTTTGTTTTCAAAATATGCTTTTGAAGATCCTATTTTGTTTTGTTTTTTTGCCTCTCTTCTTGCATTTTCGTCGTTTGCTTTTAACAAACGAGTATAGATAGTCTTTTGATGAACATTATATTCATTTTTATTGTTGATGTATGTTTATAAGGTACATGGGAATGACAGAAAATACCAGGGAGGTCCACTGATTGAATGACAGTTCCAAACTCTCCTCAATCAGTTATGCTTACTCTTGTTTCACACGTTCCCGCTTTATTAAACTTCTAACGTATTAGAATAAGGCCTGACTGTTGTAACTGGACCCCATTTATACAAAGGGTTAACTTAGATTAGTCCCTTTTGTCTCGTTTCTTACTAGACTGTGTGCCAACATTCGTACCCGAAGCCATTTGCATTAGCAAATCATACTGACGACAGTCGCATCAAGCCCTGAGATTAGAATCCAGTAAGTTGCCTACACCCACAATGATTTGGGCCAATAATATAAATTTGAGTGCATCTCAGTTTTAAAATAGACTGTTGCCCTCGACTAGGGCGTTCACACCTCTTACCATGGAAATGACAAGAGCAAACAAAATATAACGCAGTTGATTCAACCCGTATAATGTATGTATCTTACATAGTGTATGCATCTCCATTTATTAAAGGGACTAAACCATGATTGATCTTGATATTTTACTACTTCAATATTGACAAAGAATTAAAGCACCAAACGGATGCTCTCTATATTTTATGAAAAGTGCGCCAGTGGATTTCTGTGATGTGATTAACGGCGACGCAGAAAGTGTCCCGTGAAATCGGATATATTTTACCATTCCTATCCTAATGAAACACTGTTAAAATGATAGAAAAAATAAACATTTCAAACGTTGAATGCGATTGCGCAACGTTGTTGCTATTCACTCCGATTATCAACTGTGAAATTGACGACAGACGTCACACAATCAAAGTTGGCGGAACATGACTTATTGCATTCGAATATTTTCTTTTTAAATTCATATAAAGCATGCATAACGATGATAGCAAGTGCAATAGTGTAATGACAATTTTCCAAGGCGGTTTGATTCCATGTAATAGATAAACACCAAACAACATAAAAATCGTCGTTCTACCTGTGTAAGAATGGATTTTTTTGAAGACACAATCAACCAACGCAATCTGTCCTCATGATGGCTTTTTAATTTTTTGTTCAATGGTGACATTTTTTTTTACAATAGCTGAACATGCTGAAGACATGGATCTCCAACTCGGGTCATATGCATATGGTCGAAAAATAAGTCAGATTATTGATAAATTAAAAAAACTGCTTATAGCTAAATCGTATTCAAAATCCCGTTTTTGTTTATGTTTGAAACAAGAAATATACTTTTTTTTAAATCATACTGTCTAAATCGTAGCTTATGCCACGAATGTTTTGTTCTCATGTCGGATTTTTGTTCAAATGAACCCTTTAAAGACGATAATTATACCGTTTATCAGGTCAGGAATATTCTAAATAAAAAAAAAACACACGAAGTATTTTACGTTATTTGAGAATGTGGTATTGATGGCAAATTTTTGGTTGACTTATTATGTAGAAGAATGTCTATTGTTAAAGACGATTTATCGCCCTGTAGATGTCTTTTGTTTTTATTTTTCTTCATTCTTTATTTTTGGCCCTCCACTTTATGCCTTGATTCACTATTCTGTAAACCCCAACCAGAACCTCGTATATTGTTGTCTCTTTGAGGAAGTCCCCACATCTCGTTTTATTTGTTCAGATATAAAAGGAAAGATTACAGATTAATAATTGTTTATATTAGCATAAAAAAGTACACATTGGAAGCACTCAATATATCTTTTCGCATATCCATTTATCCAGCCATAGTTGTAGGAGTGGTGGCTGCAGCAGTGGTGGCTGCAGCAGCAGTGGTAGCGGCAGCAGCAGTGGTAGCGGCAGCAGCAGTGGTTGCGGCAGCAGCAGTGGTAGCGGCAGCAGCAGCTGAAATAGAGAAAAAAATGAAAATCCGTTTTACATCAAGACAATCATGAAATGACATAGTGTATAAAACAGATGTAGCGGATTCTTTATTACCTTTAGTGTTTTACAAATATGAGGGGCGACTATTGCATTTTCTAGAGGAGATATAGACTTTGGAAATGAATGTGTTGACCCAATAAAAACTGTAACTAAATAATCTACGACAGTATGAAAATACATATTTTTCCAACACCATGCAGGATAAATCTGTGTTTAAAAATAATTTCCTGAGATAAATAAACTAGCAACAGGTAAAATAGAAAATTCCGTCTAGGAAAAAATCCTCCTGCTCTTTGCCCCATCCCCCTCCTTTCCTCCCCCCTCCCCCTTCCGCAAATTGGAAGTCTCCTTACCTTAATAAATACCGTTATGCATTACGTTCAATTTTTCATAATGACACTGAGAGTAAAATAAATATTGGCGTTAATAAAATAAATATCTAAATTTTCATAACCTCTTAGCGTCATTCCCTGGAACCAATTATACAGGGTAGAACGAGGACATTTTAGATTGCGATATTATCGTTTAAATATATCTCCAATATGCTTTTGTAAGTTATAAATTATGCAAATTGCCAGGATAAATAGCCTTTAGTAGAATAATTTATAGGTATTTTTAGTCCGGTGTCTGTTATAAAAGTCCACGGATTTATTTTGGTACTTAAAATGTTCATGTTCCGTATTTTACTAGGAATATTTATGTTCTAAAATAGTTGAAATATCGAAATATTTTTATAGGTATACATTTTGTACAATATTTTTTTTTTAATATGAACCAAAATATTTGTATCTAAAATTTCTCTAATTCTTACCCGATTTATCCTTTTCCTGACCTGTTGATTATTTTTATTTAATCAACGTGTTGTTCGTTCGATCTCAGTTATTATTTGGTCAAAATTCGACTACGACGTCAAATATTCTTGCTATTCTCTGAATTTTCTATTGTGACATCATGAAAACGGCGACCATGCATGATGCCTATTTTTCCTACCAAACTGGATAACAGGAATTTTACTATGTTTGTAACAAGGATAATTGACTTTCATTATTTTACTATTTTTATTTTCATTATAAAAAACTAAATAATGTAAAGAATTGTATGAGAAATGAAATTCTAAAGGGACTTCATTTTCATAGGAAAGTTTATAATAAATATATAGACTTAATAACTAGAAACTATTATTTTTTTATAATTTTTTTTCCTTTTAATCTTAGAATTTTCAGAAACGTTTTGATATAAATTTGAAAATCGTCTTAAATACGCGGGAAATATTAGTCACTGGATGTTAAGCAAGCAACAATCAATCAATAACGTTGAAATTAAAATTAACGAATTTTTCAGGAAACGAAGCTCTAACCATTTTTTTTAAGTGAATGGTTAATATGGACTTTGAATACTGGAAAAACTTTTTTTTTTTCCATCGATAAACAGGGTTCCAAGTTTTGCTTCCTTTATGTAAACAGATCCCCATACTTTGCTTCCTAGATAACTTGTCCATGTTCATGTTTAGAATAAAGTGAAGTATATAAACAAATTACTCCGGAAAATAAGTGCCAGACATACTTAACTAGCCATAAACACATTTTACAAGAAAAAATTTCCTATTGCTTAATGTGTACTAAAATGAATAACATTGACTTATTTACCTAGTAAATAAAAACTTGGGGATGCATTTTACTACCGGACCGAATTTGCTGTTACACTTTAACATACATGCACATGCTGTCCTTATTTTTTAACAATAGGAAACAAATTGTGTTACGTCAATCAAAGGGAATTAGTTGTACGTGTATAAAAAAATTCGATCTTTTAGAATTGTGAAAAAATATTAGTAGGCTTATACAGGCGACATTGGATCGTATAAGTATGAGGAAGACCACACTTAATTAAGATATATAAACAGTATTTCGCCTTATTAAAATAACTTGCATGTGGATTCATTAAGTGATCTTCATGTATTGATCACCTAAATAGATGTAATAAAGCAGCTCAAGTCCAAGGTCCAAATAAATTCCACGCTAAAATACACTATTAGTAATTCTCGCTCAATTATGGAAATTTCTCAATCAAACATTACTTAGTAATAACAACGATGTCAAATATCTACCAAATAAAAAGAACCAAAATACGATGGTTTTTAAAAGAGACATTAGAAATACATAGTGTTTTTTATCTATAAAGTGATTCTATAAGACAATTCTCTAATTTTTGTCGACCCGATTCAAATTCCTTGACGGAATTATTACCATTTATAGAATATATATATAACAGTATCTTTTTTTTATATCGTATCTGACCTTGTTTTGATATAAAATTGCGTTATGTTGAGCTACAGAATTTTTATAGAATTACCAGCCTTCCATATACAAGCCTATTCGTACAATAATATGTATTCATAACAATGTGTCAACTTTTATATCAGTACCGTAAGTTTGTGTTTAAGTAATCATTAGACATAAGTTAAAGCAGATTTACAGAAAACAAGGTATTAGGGCAAATTTCACCTTGAATTTATTTCACACCAGTTTTATTTTCAAATACTTAAGTTCATAGTTTTAAAGTCGAATATGTTTATTTTAAAATTCTAACATTAATCGGCTTATTTCTAAGCAGAAAATCAAATTATAAAAGCCAGAAGAAATGCTTTAAACCACAGGAGCTTTATATAAACTGCCTTCAATAGCAACATGTATCGTTAAATAACATTTTTGATTAAAAGAAAATATGTAAATTTGTGAAGCTCAATTTTAAGTATATGATATAGACTCTCTTATATTCAATTTCTTGTAAGATTTTCTTACTTTAGAATTTTGATCCTGTAGGTGAAACAAATACAAGATGAAATTAGCCATACTCTTTTGCTGACAAGGACGACTTGATAACAAAAGGTAACCGAAGACAAATCGGCTAGTAAAGATTAAAACATACTTGTTGCGGCTGTGGCCATAGCTGTAGTTGTTCTACCAAGACCTAATGCCAATACTACAATAAAATATCAATACCTTTTGTTAATACATATTCAACATGTTTTAATTGCTATAAGAAAACCGATGAAAAAATTAAACATGACTGAAAATTTGACGTTTCTAGACTTTTTAAAATCATGGTTAGCTGGTTTCCTCATACCGTACGGCAATATTGATATATCTGAAATATGGTAATTAATATGGTTAACATGTTCGATTAAATTGATACTATTTGCATAAACAACATACTCGTAGATGTTGATAATAAAATAGATTAATGGCCAATAGCATCAATATTGATTTCCAATCACAAAACAATCACACATACTTGCATGGTTATTAATAAGTTTATCTACTACTAGTATCCATGTAAAATTTGGAATGTAAATATGATAAAATATGAGACGACTATATCTAATTTACATAGAAGTAATACAGATTCTTTATCTTTTCTCTTGATCTAAAAAGAGCAAGTAGGTTTGATAAACGAGTAATAATGTCATTATCTCAAATTTGACAAATATAGTTACACCTTCAGAAGATGTTTTATAGCTATGGATTTAAAAGGAAGCCTTAATTGCTTATATTTGTCTTTCATCAAATTGATACCTTATCACTGCTTTTGTATGGCAATATGAATATTGTCTTTTCTGGTTTAATTGCCAAAACCTGATAATTGTGCTGATACACGATAACACTTCTATGTAAGTACTGTAAACCAACTTATTTTCGCGGATTCTTTATTTCTTGTTTCGCTTTTTCTAGCCCACTTCGTGGCGATTAAAGTTCACGATTTTCAAATGTTCTTGATGTATTTGAATTAGGAAAGATCCAAGTTTTACATATTCGCGACGATTTATATTCGCGTTATTTATTTACTCATGAAAGTGGCAAAAATAAATCGCTCGCAAAAATTAGTTGGTTTACAGTACTATTGTGCTGAACAACCCTTGCAGAATGCAGTGGACAGCGTGATAATCATCATCAGGTACTATAGAAACGAAAAAATTAGAAAGTCAATGATATTGTGACTGTATAATCATGACAGAATACAGTGGACAGTTTGATTAACTTCATTAGGTACTCATGAAAAATCATGACGTAAATACGTTTGTGAGTATGAAAATCAAACAAGTCTTTAACCGAACATACTTTCATGGTTAGCTTTTCTTGGTTAAAATACAGTTACATATTTGTTTTACTAGCAAGTTATGGACGCAATAAGTAGGTAGTAAGTATTTGTAAGTATAAGTAGTACTAACATAGAAGGGGTATCGCTAATAGTGGCAATAATGATTCAATTCCTCCACCAAATCCACCAAATACATCACCAATTCCATTGTCTTTGACCAATAAAACGGTCTTCTGTCTTTCATCAGAACGTGCTCTTATAGGAAACGGTCTAGGTATAGGTAAAGGCACTAGTCTCATCCCCACGGGTGGTCCTTTTCCCTGTGGTGGTGGAAATTTATGACAGCTAACATGACCAGGAACTTGCGTCAATCCAATGAAAACTGCTACGACACAGATGGTCAGTTTGAAATACGTCATCTATTAACAAAAAAAATCTTATTTACATAGGAAATACTATTTTTTATTCTTTGTTGTCATAGTTGTTTGTCTTTATAGTGATTGAGATAATAAATAAATGTTGACTGTTGTAACCAAATTTTGGACATTTTTACCTGTTATGTCTGATTGTTTTGCTCACACATTGTTGTCAATATGGTGGAATTCTATGCAACTGTCTTACTTATTGTTATAACAATGTACATTGTTTGCAATGAAGTACTGTCATTCCAAGTCAAACAAAACCCGATAATTTATGTGAGACAAATTCTACAATCTCATCTTGACGTCACCAATAGCATAAAAACACGAAGACAAATATTTTACTTACTGATTTCCAATTCAAAACAAGCACACAAGCACATATTACTTATATTCCCTCCAGGATTAAGGTAAAATAAAAATGAAAGGCCTTGATAAATGTTTTTAAATATTAATTTTAGGTATTTTAATTCAAGGTAGAACTACAGTCAGACTTTTCGAACTCTAACCAACAGGCATTAATGATTAGTTTCTCCAAAACTACTTAATGGATTTTTAAAATCTCTAACTCATTTTAAAGCTGAAATATTACTCTTTCCTTATCTACAGATATTTATTATCGATTAAAAAATATAGCTCATTTACTGCCAAAAGAGTGCTCTCCAACCTTGGATGAAAATAGCACATTCAGGTCAAATTGTAGTAAAAATTTGTTTTCATCCCTTTAATTAATCATACACAAGCTACAAAACTATGTCTCAGATTTTTTATATACACCTCCATTTAGAAGATATATTGATTTAGCTGATGGGTGCTAAACATCATTTCACCTTTCATCCTTGGAGACCTATAAATTCATTCAAAAACAAATTATCCAAAAACTAGGACACGGTTTTGTAGAAAAAACTCCCTTCAATCACATATATCAAAGTCAATCCAAAGGGGGTACCTATAAAGTTTTAAATTTAATTTTTTGAGAACAATTCCAATGAAAATTTATTTTGAAAAATCACCTAAAAACTGAATTTATCCTTTTGAACCCCTATAAGTGCAACATAAATCTAACCACTCCACTGGGAGTGTTCTGACACCATTATTTTATCAATAGAATCACACAGTTTGTGTCTTTTATACACTTAAACTGAAAATTATTTGTGCACTGTCCATCCCTTAACTACACTAATTAAGCATTTGGCGGGAGTTTTACGTCACAGATCTGTATAGATCTAAAAAAAAATATGGTCAAAGCTCCTCCCCTGTCCAGATAGTTTAAGATAAGAGAATATTAAGAGTGACCAGTTGCATATAATCAAAATTTAACATTATCCTCACTATGAAATAAAAATTATCGTTCATATCTTAGAAGAAGTATATGGTACTGTGAAATTACTAAGACACAGAAACTAAAAAATGTACAATAAAGGATATTTTCATACTGCCTATACTGTCCTCTACAAAATGGAACAGGACATTCTTATAGTACAAGTTAACAAAAATTACGATCATGTTTGTGATTTGTCAAGAGTAAGGATTGTTGTGAATGTCACTGTGTGCTGGTGTCATACAGATTTAGATTTCTTGCATTAGTAAGAACATTTGTCAGAGACTTTCATAGCTACTCATACACATTTGTATTTATCTATATGGCTTTACTTTTTCTCTTTTATATTTTTTTTGTTGCCCTCCATAGTTATATAAATTAATTTTGATTCCAGCATAGTAAGATAAGACCACATTATTTATATTGTGGTCAGAGATAACCAACTGGACACTTGGTATCGACAGATGATTGAAAAATTAGCTCCTCCCATATGCTCTTATATATGAAGTATTTACAATGTGCTTTTATTTACATAATTTAATTATTTATTTACTCCCTGTTGTGACAAGATAATGCTTCTGGGATTTTTACAAAATGTTTAGATGGATAAATATTTTAAAGAAATGTGATAAAAAAAATCCCTAAGGATTCATTACAATACTGTAGTGCTACCTCAATGCTATGGTAATCTTAACAATTACTCTGATGAACTATCAAAAAAGGTCCAAAAAGTCATTTGTTTCCACTAAACAATATACCTATATACAGTAGCATGTAGTTTGTTAAATTCTACGGTAGAACCATTTTGCTAACTACAATTCAGAGGTTACTTATTTGGATACATAAGTATCTCTATATACGGCCTACCAGAGAGAACAAGTATCCCATAAAGATATTGAATATCTTGAATTCACAATTAAATCTTGTTTTGAAAAATTTCACATATTTGTTTGAAAATATACACCAGGAATAGATAGTAAAACATCAAATTTAGCATTAAGAAAAATAGGTTCCATCCTTCGGAGTTGAAAATAAAGGTTCACTGTTAACCATATGTGAAAAGACTTTTAAGTACATGTAATTGTTTTAATACTCTATTATATGAGGCATTCATACTATCCAAGAATCATGACTCATCAGAATATTACAAATGGTTTACAAATGCAAAAGCAATCTCCTGTGCAGAGATAATATCTGTTCCGTTCCAAACTACGTAACACTACACTCAGTGAAGTAATGCAAAGCACATATGCAACGGATGTGAATTCTGTGCCGGAGATTGATGCAAATGAACCTCATGTAGACTTAAATCATCTAGAGGAATATAAGAATACAATCAAAATAAATATAGTAAAAACTTAAATGAAAGTCAAATTCCTAAATTATTATGAATAATTATATAAAACAATTGAGAAAAGGATGATAAATTGTATAGTAAAGAATTACATTTCATTTACCTTTGTGGTCGCCGGTTGTCCTGACCAAGAAAATATTCATTCGCGCTTCTTATATATGCTGTGATGAGGCAGATAAGCCTTCGGGGTACTCTATAAGCGTACAAAGTCTTGTATATTTTGATAAAAATTAAATTTGTATTGATGACATAACTTGCATTTTAGCAAGTATGGGAAAATATCATGTTATTTTGTTTAATAGTACAATTATACGTAATCAGTTATGTAATCAGTTACCAATGATTTCTTATACCTATACCAAACCAATTGCAACTAAAATTTTCAATTGCAAACACGTTTTGCAGGATCTCAGGATTGACGACTTCAATTCTAAACCTCCTGATTGCACCTGTGCTGGTTCCCAATTCACATACAATCCGGCTGGCCACGTTATTACCGGAGACCTCAACATTGTCAATAACACTTTCCTGCGAAATTTGTTATCCAAATGTCCGAAATATCGTGAGCCTGAATCCATCAATTGGAAATACAACTTCAAAATACTGATGGATTCAGTCGAGGATTATGCCAGGCAATGGGCTAAACGCGAGAAAGAAGACGTAGATACTCTTTCCGAATGGATTAAGGCTGTGAGGTCGTTGATACAAATCCGAATTAAGAAACTAAATGGGCATATCAATACCTACGCTACATCAATTTTTAAAGACCCAAATGTTGCAAAACACTTGATCTACCTCCATGACAAATATGTTGTTGTCCCCGCTGATAAAGTCCCAAACAACATCGTTTTTGTGTGTAAATATCATTACATAAACTGCTTGATAAATGAATTAGGTATTGACAATTCACTTGGAAACTCAACATATACCCTCACGACACTAACCAAAGAGAAAATCCTGGATAATCATAGGTCTGTTCTATGTTCCTTTGGAATTTCAACCAAAGATGAAGAACTGGATCTTCCATCACTGTATTGGATACCTTAACTACATAAGTGTCCTTACAAACAACGGTATATTGCTGGGTCTTCCAAGTGCTCGACGAAACCTCTTTCTAAATTATTAACATCTATTTTATCAGCAATCAAAGCCGGGCTCCAAAGTTATTGTGAAACTGCCTATTCTAGAGGTGGCGTGAATCAGATGTGGATACTAAAAAATTCCATAGATCTTTAACATACAATCTAAGACTCTCTCATCTTGCAATAGTATTAAAACATTTGACTTTTCTACACTTTACACAAGAATTCCCCATTCCAAACTAAAAGACAAATTGAAAGAGTTGGTATTACTTTGTTTCATTAAAAAGAATGGCGAACGTAGATACAAGTATCTTGTCTTGGGGAGGGATAAATCCTACTTTGTAAAGAATCACTCTGAATCAAACAAAAAATTCTCTGAAACTGACATTATCAAGATGCTTGATTTCTTGATTGACAACATATTTGTTACGTTTGGAGGACGTGTTTTTCAACAGACTGTCGGAATTCCAATGGGAACCAATTGTGCCCCTCTTCTTGCCGACTTGTTTCTTCATTATTATGAGACTGACTTCATACAGGAAATTCTGAGAAAGAAAGATAAGAAGTTAGCAAAATATCCTTTAAATCTACGTTCCGCTATATAGATGATTTTCTCTCACTAAATAATACAAAATTTGGTGACTATGTTGAACGAATCTATCCCATCGAACTAGAGATAAAGGATACTACTGATACAGTTAAGTCTGCCTCATATCTTGACTTACATCTAGAAATTGATAATGAGGGTCGGTTGAAAACAAAACTTTACGACAAAAGAGATGATTTCAGCTTCCCAATTGTGAACTTTCCATTTCTATGTAGCAACATTCCAGCAGCGCCTGCATAGAGATTATATATCTCCCAGTTGATACGATATTCCCGGGCTTGATAGAGGATTGCTGCTCACAAGGAAGCTATCAAACCAAGAGTTCCAAATGGTGAAGTTGAAATCATCCCTTCGTAAATTTTACGGATTCCATCACGAGTTGGTTGACCGTTATGGAATAAACGTTTCACAGATGATATCGGATATGTTCCTTATGTCGTAACTACAATACCCTTCCCTTTTCACGAATGTGACTTACCTAATTAGACTATTTACCGGATTTGTAATAACATAAGCAACACGACGGGTGCCACATGTGGAGCAGGATCTGCTTACCCTTCCGGAGCACCTGAGATAACCCCCAGTTTTTGGTGAGGTTCGTGTTGCTTAGTCTTTAGTTTTCTATGTTGTGTTTTGTGTACTATTATTTGTCTGTTTGTCTTTTTCTTTTTTAGCCATGGCGTTGTCAGTTTGTTTTCATCTATGAGTTTGACTGTCCCTCTGGTATCTTTCGTCCCTCTTTTATGTAGACTTACAAGTTATTTCAGTTGCTTTCCTACGAAAGTTGATTAGAATTTCTCAGAATAACGAGCGAACCTAATAAAGATTATTCCTGTGACGCGTGTTGTGCACACAAGAAAATCTTTTAATTAGTTATTGTTTATAAACTAAATTAGCATTTGTTTCCATTGTCCTCATCTCAAAACTAAGGAAAGTGGATTCATTAAACCGTAACAAAGGAAGCTGGTTGCTTCCAGTTTAAATTTTTGAGTTTTCTGCTTGTCTCCTTTTTTGTTAGGATAAAGGTCGAAATCTCAAAATAGAACAAAAATATTCAAAAAAAGAAAAACATTCATGTAAACTTTAAAAAAATTATTCTGAAAGGTTATCAATTTTGCACCAACATAAAAACCAAATAATGTAAGTTGAAGAGCATTGAGTAGCCGGAATTATGAAAGGTTTCAAAAAATATAACTAAGGTAATCTATTCCTGGGTTTAAAATCCTAAATACGTTGACAAATTCAAGGTTTTGTAAACAGTTTAATTTGGTTTGTGACCATATCGATGCTAATTCGTGTCATTACAGAAGTACTGACTATACTGGGGTGATGATTCCAAAATTGATGTTTGTTTAAATACTGTTACGAAAACTTTACATATATGTTGGTATTGTACAAATTCAAGTTTTATTAGACTGTTTATATCGTCTTTACCATAAATCCATTGGATGTGTACTGATTGACTTGCGTCTGATAATCATCACATTTCTAGAAACTTTGGCCAGTTTTTACATTGTTTGAATGTTTTACATTGTCTCATGTCGTTACCTATTATACGGTATGGGGTTTGATTTTTTGTACCTCACATACCTATAGTTGGTTACATCTACATCATTTTGTCTTTGATGGCAATCAAAACACATCTTTTTTTTTAATAATAACTCCTATAAGGGTTCAATTGAAAAATTTGGCCATGTTAACGTATTTGTAAAATTATTTCTCTATCTATAACAGTATTCAATATAATTCAAAATCATTGCGTGCATTTATTATTGCGAGTTTCTGAGAATGGACAAAAATTCGAATTACATATCAGAATGTGAATTTTTATTCTTCGATATTCACCCAGTCGCACGCATTATTCGCATTAATAAAAACTTCGCAATAATTTCTGAACAGTAACCTAGCGATGCGATATTTCCTAACAGAGTACATGTCAGGGACAATTACTTCAAATGGATTGTCAGATTTATCAAGATGGACTTGACCAGGAAATAATTTCTACCCCATGTCAATTTTGTTTTAGCTTTTAAGATATCAGCCAAAAATTGCGAAATTTGCCAAAACTTGACATTTCAGGGACAATGAATTCAAAATTGGAAGTCGAGTTTTTCGGCATATTCTATAAGAGATAGACATGCCAGTATTTTCCATGTTTCTTCGTTTGGACTAGATAAATCAATACTAGCCCATTTGGTGTATTCTTCCACTCAACAATTAATAAATAAATCGTCTGTTAAATATATAACTGTAAGTTTATGTTTTTTTTAATATTATAAAAATAAGGAGATGTGGTATGATGGCCTAATCCATTACAAATATAACAGACATGAAACAACGACAACCGCTCAACTACAGGCTCCTGACTTGGGACAGGCACAAAAAGGATGTGGCAGGGTTAAACATGTTTGTGAGCGCTCAACCCTCCCCTAACCTGGAACAGTAGTGTAACAGCACAACATAAGAACAAACTATAGAAATCAGTTGAAAAAGGCTTAACTCATCAGATCGATACAAAGTAGAAAAAACATCAAACATAAACACACACCGGACGTGGCAGGGTATTTATCCATCCCTCATCCATAACAACAAAAAGGACACTAAAAAAAGATCTGAGAGTACTCGCAGATGCTGACAGCTAGTTCAAATCTTAATATTGTTTGCAAGCAAGAAATAAGGAGACATTCTTTCATGAATTTGGAATGAATGAGCACTCAGGTAAGCCTACATACAAAATCGTACGTCCTTTGTTGCTTCAATGAACATTACATTCAACAGCAAATCTGAGGACTTAACTTGTTTGTATTGGATACCTAAGCTTCACAAAATTCCGTACAAACAACGGCACATAGCCGGTTCATATGCATGTTATACAAGGAATTGTCCATTTGATTGACACAAACTATGTCCGCAGTGAGAGAGGGTCTTCAAAAATACTGTGAAACTGGTTACTCGCGTATTGGTATTAACCATATGTGGACTCTAAAAAACTCTAGAGAACTTCTGGATTATATTGAATCTCTATCTTTCTCTGAAATTAATTCTATCACAACTTTTGATTTGTCAACCCTGTATACCACCATTCCCTTTGTGAAATTGAAAAATCGTCTAAAAGAAATAATCAACATTTTTTTACGATATAAAAATGATAGCATACGCTATAAATGTATTGCTTTTGGATACACTACGGCATATTTCGTAAACAGTGAACAAAAAGGTAAAACATGCTACGAGAGGAACACGTGATCAGTATGCTGGAGTTTCTTATTGACAACATATTTGTTGAATTTGGAGATAGACTTTTTTTTAACAAATTGTCGGAATTCAAATGGGAACGAACTGTGCGCCGCTCCTTGACAACCTCTTCTTATTTTCATATATAAGACGAAGTTCTTTCAGACAAGAAGATCAAAGAAGCCAGACTCAATAATT